TAACTTGTGTTTGAGCCACATTATTTTGGAAGAATGTATTTTGGAATAGTTGATCGATGAAGAATGTGTGGTTGAAAAAGAAGAAAAAGTTATTGATATAATGAAAAATATTATTTTATTGAAGAATGTGTGGTTGAAAATGAGTAGAATAATGAAAATGAAAATTTTAATGTGTCTCAAACAGGGTTATTGTTTAAATTTTTTAGAAAAAGTAAGATTCTCATATTGAAGCCACGAGGGGATGACCGGCGAGCAACACAATTTGCGGTAGACGAAATCACGAGTCTGTATCTTATTATTCTAACAATACATAAAATTTAAAATGCGTACGATAAATGTGGTTATAGCCTACTCAATTAGCACGAATAGTATTAATGCTATCTTCGAAGGATTAAATATGCCTGAAATATATAATTTAAGCAATATTATTGAGTAGAGAGTAAATACTATTGTACTCTTTTCTTTTTGATCAAAGTTTTATCCCTTTGAATTTTTTCAAAAAAAAGATTTTAGTGAGGCAGATGTTGTAGCACATTTAAAGGAAAGGGAAAGAGAAAATTTCACAAAATGTCCACTTTTTCATGTCCATTTGCAAAAATGTCCACCATTGCAAAAATGCCAATTTTGAAAGAATTTAGACCAAAATAACCTTGTTAACAACTTATAATTCCACATAAACACAAAAATGTCGACTTTATTTAAAAATTTGTTGGCCTATAAAATTTTGACATATAATCCTAACATATTTATTTCAAAAGTACANATGTCCACTTTATTAAAAATTTTATCTCATTTGTCGCGAGAGTGGCGGTGAGGACATTTGAGAGAAAATATAGGAGGTTGACAAGGATTTGTTCGAGTTGAATTTGGCGAGGAGATGGTTGCTAGGAACGGCCATTTCTTCTTCAGCGAGGAAGAAGGCCAGATGAATTTGAATGACACTTTGGTGGGTATGGGAGTGAAGATTGGGAACAATGCAGAATGGCTTTTCCCCTATAAGTTATACACCGTTTTGGATTAGTACTAAGTGAGTGTTTGGTAGGAATTAAAATTAGATTTTTTTTAGATTGTAATAGAAGTTTTTGAAATGTGTGGTTGAAAAGTTGTGGGATCATGAAAGATGTGGTTAATATTGATTGTTTGACTTTGACTTAGATTAAAAATCTGATTTTAATTCGAAACAAACATGACCTAAATCAATGACAAATTCTTTCCAATAAGAGGCATGGATAAGTACTATAGCAATTAAGGTTTTGATTTAAAAATCCAGTCCGTTCCTCATAAATAGTCCTTAAAATTAAAATGTTGAAATTTAATTACTAATTTATAAAATTTAAACACTTAAATCTATTATTTAAATTAGAATGTTAAAAAAATATTTTCTTATTGTGTCACACTCTATGTTTTGGGTTATCCTCTTAAGTCTAATTTGCAATTAACTCAAAATTTAGAAAAGGTCCACTCTTAATAAATGTTTACTCGATCATCTTTCATATTTTATAAGGTCTACTCTTAATACTCAAAATATATACTCATATTCCAACGTGGCTTGACTTTTGATCATGAACAAATTA